GAGCAGGCAGGTGTTCAGCTGCCCCCAGCAGAGCAGAGCTCCACCATACGTTACAGAAACACTGTAACTCCAAACATTCCCCTTCCTCCTCCTCCTTCCCCCCACTTTTTGTACTGAGCATGACACGAAATGGTATGGAATTTCCCAAGCTGGGTTACCTGTCCCAGCTATGCCTCCTCCCGGTCTCCCATGCACCCCCAGCCCCCTCACCAGCAATGCAGTATGAAAAGCAGAAAAGGCCTTGGCTCTGTGTAAGCTCTGCTCAGCAATAATAAAAACATGTCTATATTATCAGCACCATGTTCAGCACAAACCCAAAGCACAGCCCCATACTAGCCACTGTGAGGAAAATTAACTCTACTCCAGCCAAAGCCAGCACAACTTCTTAAGAGGTTAACCCACTGCAGTAAGAACACGTTGGGACAGTTTTTAAACTGCATTCTAGAGAAGATTTCTGAGAAGTTAAAATCTGGTAAAGTTAACTTTATACCATAGTTTTTCAAAGCATGTAAATAGTGATTCTTCTGTAATGTGTTGTTACGCAGTATCTGTCCTGCATGGTGGGCGACAAAAACGTCCCTTCATGTGGCAGCCTGGGAGGTTGTGTGGTCTTCCCTGAAATCCACATACCACCAACTTCTAGTACCTAAAGCAAATGTTTTATTGGAATGCAGAAGTGAGAAGCCAGAGCAAAGTTTTACCCAGCAGAAGGCAGTTGGCTCTATCGATAGAGTTACTGATTAATAAAAGAGTTGCAAACAAATTCCCAGTTGTCTGCGTTCTGGGTGGAGGCCTCCTTCACATTCCTGCCACACTGGGTGGTTTCTTGGGTTGCTCAGCTCCTCTGGATCCCAAGGAATGTCTTCTCCTTTCCGTGACCTCAGAGACTTGGCTTTCATCTGTGCCTCCCTGCGAGCATTTCTTCCTCTCCAGGGCTCCTGGTCTACACTCTGTGCTGGAAACTCCCTGCTTGCTGGGTTTCTCCCTCTCTTCCCAACCCTCTGTGTTCTCTAGCAGCATCTCGCCTGTGCATGAGCCAGTTGCTCCTCCACTTTTCCTTGTTTTCTGGGCGAGGGGTGTATTCTGCTTCCAGAGTCCTTCAAAGTAAAAGTCAGCAGGCAGACTCTATGTGGCTCCTGCTTTTTCAGATAATACGTGATATAATGGCATGAGCTGGAAAGCAAACAGTTCTGAAGTTTTACCAGCACTCACACCCCACACACCCCAACAGAGCAATTACAGAGACTAGGGACCATGACCAGAATCTGATTCCAACACTGACAGTGTTTTGTAAGACTAAGCTGAGCTCCACATCCATACAAGCAGAGCTTTGGAAAACCTGGTAAACAGTCAGATCAGGAGCATGTAATTGCCTAAGAGATGGACTATCTGTGGGATTGCTCAGTTTTTGGTGTGCATGCAAACATCATGTGCTAGGCCATGCTGATTTGTCTAATATCACTAAATAACACAACCATTTCCTTCCCCAACAGCTCATCTGTACAGTATGCATTCTCCCATTCAGTAGAATCATTGCACACGTCATGGATTTGCATTTGATGGCAGTTTACAAGTTGTTTGCATTTAATTTTTTAGATAAGCAGTATTAAAGCTTCAAGATCAGTTATGTTAACATGAAACTAATTATTTTCGCTTTTTGTTTTCTCTTTTTGTAAACTCTGATGCAGCATTATGTTGACTTGTGTTCTGTCTCTGCTTTGGCGCAGTTCCCGTATCTTTCTGTTTAAAGTTATCTGTATTTCCTTTGCTTACCCAACCCCTGTTTTCCTTTCCAAATAAGGCAAATACAAGGCAAACTACCTAAAATCTGTATATTCTTTCTTTGTTAAATTTAATTATGGGGAGCCTTGTGACACCCATGCTTGATTTGAGCAGCACCCCTTGTGTTAAGTCATTATCTGTGCCATTTCTGTGTCCGGTTTGTTGGAAACTTTTGCAGAACAGCTTGCCCTGTGCTGCATGATGTTCACTGTGCTGTTTGTAATATGAAGTAAGGTTCATATTACACCCTGTTTCCACTTTCTAGTTACTGAATGATAAGTGTAATATGCAAACAACTCTGTTTGCAAATTACTGAGGCTGAATTTAATGGCCTTCTCCCAGAATCCTTTACTGTGAACACCTTTTACCTTCAGTTGTATCTATAAACTGGCATTTTATAGCTTATGAGGCCAGAGATCTTCTGTGCTCTACACATACCATTGGGGAAAATGGATGGCACAAGGAATGGTGAGCTCAATTTCCCATCTGAATCTGGGCAATATACCCCAGCTCCTTTAGAAAAGTAAAAGCCCCTGACTTACTGGTGTATTTTTTCTTAACATAATAATGCTTCCTTCTTTATTTCAAATGTTCTTGGTTTCTGTTACCTTTCTGTAGTTGTTACTTTGTTTAAGCAGCAGTGAAATAGGTTGAAAAACTGTTTGTTGTCCATTGGGTCAGTTCAGGCAATTTTTATAGCCATTTGTCAGGGATTATCATCAGCAAGGTGAAGGGTATTTCCTTGACTTCCATTGCATGTAGGAACAGGAATTTTTATCCCAGCATTCTTCTGTGGGGTTTACTTGAAACTCCCAGTTCCCCAAGTTGAAAGGGATGATGATCTTAGCGTTATATTACACTGGCAGTTACTGTCAGGTACCTTTGTCTGACAGAGCAATGATGGAAGTCTCTCTTGATGCTTGAGCAAGCAGCAGGCTAACTTTGGGATTTTCCTTCCTTTGTGTCATTGCACAGACATCTTCTCGATTATTGGTGCGGCCGACCAGCTCCGAGACACCCAGTGCTGCAGAGCTAGTCAGTGCAATTGAAGAGCTCGTCAAAAGTAAAATGGTGAGGCTAACTAGCAGATGCATGTGTTTAAAGAAGTTGTGTGTCTAAGCCCTGAATTGTTATTCAAAGAAAAGCTACATACTTTACACTGTCTTCTAAAACTTGCTGCCAGTTTGAAAAGTCACTTTCTGGGTTGGTGTACAGATGTTTTTTTTATATACTCTTTTGTAAAAGCATTTACTGGATAGGTGAGTAGCTGTGTAAAGAAGCAAAAAATAAGAGGGAGAGGAAATGGCAGAAAATTTACTATGTTGTGTTAGTTAAAAGAAAATGTCCTATTAGTAAAATGAATGCAAAGACCCAGAGTCTTAGACTGATACACCTTTATGAGAAGAGTCACTGAAACTAAATTTATTGCAAATCTTGTAGGGTTCAACAGTAAAGCAAATAACCCTCACACAGAATTATTTATATTATCTGGTTCTTCTCTAAGGCAACAGGATAATGAAGAAATAAGTAAAAGAGTAAAGGGATCATTCTGCACATTTATGTGTCCTCCCTTGCTTTATAGTGTTAGCTAACAAATTAAGCAAGAGGAATTTGTATCAGCTTTCTTAAGTTACTATGTTTTAAAGTTTCTGTGTTTCTGAAGATGCACATTGACAAAGAACAGGTTGTGTGCATAATTCCAGTGAGGCCCTTCTTTGTATTCCAAACTCAGCTTGACCCAGTCCTGGAAAAACTGCTCTAGCTGACCCTGTTTGAGCAGGGAAATTGGACTGTATGGTCTCAAGTGGTCCCTCAGCAATTCTGTGATTTCCTCAAAACCTTTAATTATGGCTTTTGCAACACACATTCTGTTGGGCTTAGTAGAAGTGCTGCTGTGAAAACGATAGACAACTGCAGCATGGCAGCCCCATGTTATCAGAGGTCATTATTTGCCATGTTCATTCAAAACGTAAGCAGCTTTGAATTTCAGAATGAGAAATTTTAATTTCTATTTTATATTTCCTCATTCAGAAAGACTTACATTATTTCATAAAATAATTACTGCACTCTCTCAGAGCATTAACCTTGCTTTTTGCTTCTCTTGCACCAGAATGGTGAATAAGAGGTAATCTATGGGAAAATTCAGCGCAGTCTTTTGAAATGGAAAGTTTGGCAGTCCATGTGTCTTTCAGGCAACCTAGCAGTGGATATAACTTAATGATCCATGCATATAGTCCCTGGTGGAGATGTTCTCATTTTATAGTTTTAGCCAAGGGTTAGCTTCTCCTGGGTTTTGGGTTAATGATCCATGCATATAGTCCCTGGTTCTCATTTTATAGTTTTAGCCAAGAGTTAGCTTCTCCTGGTTTTTGGACCAGTCATATCATTATTGTTTTTCTACTTTTTGTGGGGAACGAAAAAAGATTACAGCTGTACCCCACCCTGGTGAAGTAAATGTGTCTTGCATTAAAGGTTGTATCACATGCAAGGAAAATGTGATACATAACTGTAGCTTGAGCCAAGATTGTGGGCTTGAATTAAAGTAGTCCCAATAAATACTTCACAGAAGATGTTCATATTATTTCTGCCATGGCTTGTCCATCTTTTATGCCAACAGAAGCCTGTGGAGTCTGTGCAAGGGAGACAGTGTATCTGGCAGAGGATGCAGGGACTCTTTCCTAGGATCTGAACTGTCAGGAAGCTCTAAAGAAACATTGACAGTGTAGAAGTCATTATTCTCTTCCCTGAGTCACTGTTTTGGCTAGTTAATATGATAAAGTGTCTGACAAAGAATGCCACTTCTGTTGTGTTAAAAAATGTGACATCCAAAGAGTTTCCTTTAAAGATGTCCTATTTATTGCTGAAATAACTTGCATATGCCGGAACTCAAATGTAATTTAATCCCTGGCAATGAGCACACACCTGTGTAGCTTCCACCATAGAAGTATTTACATCCTGAGCAGGATAGTCTGATTTTTTAGCCATTGCTGCTCAAAACAGCTCAATTCCTTTCTTTTCCTGTGAAGGAAAGATTGTCATATCTCAAATAAGGCTAGGTTATCTTGGAAGGCTGTATTCTTGGCTGGTTTCCTGGAAGCTTGAGACCTGCTTTGCCAAGATACATTACAGTCATTGATCTATAGATTCCTATGTACCACTGCATGTAATGTGTCTTGTGAATAAAGGGGAAATAAATCATTGTTGCTGACTATCTTGAACACCTTCTCAGGCTCTGGAGGACCGTCCAAGTTCCTTGCTGGTAGATCAAGGTGACAGCAGCAGTCCATCCTTCAACCCTTCAGATAACTCCCTCCTCTCCTCCTCATCACCCATAGATGAGATGGAAGAAAGGAAATCCAGCTCCTTAAAAAGACGACAGTAAGACCACATTTTCACTCGGTTTTTTGACAATTTTTTTTTGCATTGTCCATTTTGAACTGGCAGCAGAAGCTGTTAGTCTGAAAGGGGGAGGACCTGTATTAGATGTCAAGCATGTAGTCACATTATGCAAAGAACATTTTTTCCCTCAGGCATACATTGACCTTTCAGTTTCCTGTGATTTTTAATTTTAGTCATACCTGTGGTTTACCTCTGTCACATGTCATTATCATATATCTGGGAAAATGCTGATCTTTAAATGTCCAAAGAGCTATTTGTCTTCAAAAAAATGGTCATACCCTTGTTCTGTTCCATCCCATGCATAATTTCTTTATGTAGTTGTAAACTGTTACCATGGTAGAACAAAAGCATGCCTGGTTTCAAAATTTTTTAAACCTGTGTGTGGAAATAATGGTTCATATAGTTAAAAGTCTCCAGACCAGAGATATAATAGCATTTTATTTTAAACAATAGTTAAATGTTTAATTTTAATGACACGTTTAAGAAAACATACGAGTTTAGATAAACAGAAGCAAGCCTTGTCCAGTTTCAAAGTCAAAGCAGTATGTTGCTTAGAACCAAAGCACATTAGTTCTTCCATTTCAGTTCTGCTTATCAAACATATGTGACTGCAAATGTGTAAAAAGCTGTATGCCATTAATCCTCTTTATGAGTCTGTTTCATTTTTTAATGTGTGTTCACCATTTTCCTTCCACTGTAGCTATGTCTTACAGGAATTAGTGGAGACAGAGCGAGATTATGTGCGAGATCTGGGCTATGTAGTTGAGGTATGTTGGTTTTCATACTCTTGATTTCTTCTTTTCTTATAATGTGGTACTGCTCAGCTGTGTAGCTTGAACCTCACGATGTTTTTCAAAACAAAACACAGGAAGAAACTGAAAATGTGAAAGTTTTCATTCTGAGTTTTCCCTTCTGCAAGCTTTTAACATACTAGAAGTATGTTCCCTTTCTTCCTGTTGTTATGTCCACCTTGTTGTTGTTCTGAGAAGCAGAGTTCTTTGGGTTTTTTTAAGCTCACCACCTCTGGCCTTGCATTATTTTAGACTAAATGGTTTTATTTAGCACAATTAAATTTGTGAAAAAAGCATTGTAGTTCAGCATACAGAGCAGCTATCCAAAATTTGTAAGTCTGCCTTTGTGTCCTACTGCTTAGACTTCCTAGCTTACCCCACTGTAAAATGAAATAACATCACATAACTTCCTTCAGTCTTCAGCTACCAACAAAATGCATTTGGAAGGGTAGAGAGAATGAGCATGACAGTGAATTTCAACCTAATAATGTTCAATTCTTAAACCTTGGTTTGGAGGGAGGGAAAAATCAGCATTGTGATAGATAGTGTTTTTACAGTATCCAGAGGGTGCATTAGGAGGCTATTTATAGATGTATTTTTGTAACATACAAAATAATTCCTGGTGGAAATGATAGACATCAAAGCATAAACTTGGCAAACCTAAACCAGACCTGGCTATTTAGAAATAGAAGTATTAGAAAAAATAAAAAGAAAAAAAGAAGGAATAGAGTTGCATGAATATCACAAAATTTAGAAGCACTCCCAGCTCTTAACTATATGATAGAACTGCCCAGCAAGATGACTCTGCAGGCATCAAAAATAAGAAGATGGAACTTTATTGCACCCAAAATGCTTGCTAACAGAATTAATATTCAATTTTTTTGTGTTTGGATTGCTCATACTGCAGGGAGTAATCCATGCAGTGCAGCCCCATAGGCAGTGCAGTTGCTTTTCTTCTGCAGTGCACTTTGGTGTAGGATTAGTGTGGATGACTGAAATAAGAAACACCGAGGAAAGCAGCACAGAAGTCAGTTCAGTGGCTCTGACATGTACTCAGTAACAGCCCTACTTGCCAAAGCATTCCAGCTGCCTTGGACAGCAGAGAGGCTGTGCAAGTTTCTTTCATGCTTTGAGCTGTTCACACAGGCTAAATTAGCTAGAGTGAATTCATTTTTCTAGCACTGGGCAGTGTTGTGTAGACAGCCTCAAGTCAATTTGTGATACTTCATGTCTGTGCTCTGTGTTACGCTATGTTATAGAGCAGTTTTTTAGCTTGGTTTTGAGTCCCAAGGAAGCTGTTGCCATGGGCAGTTTGGACAGCTTCTGGGAAAAGGGGGATTGCTCACTTTTTTGTAAGTAAAAAGGTTCACAGTGAATTTTTTTGGACTATTGCAGGGTTATATGGCACTTATGAAGGAAGATGGTGTACCTGATGATATGAAAGGCAAAGACAAGATTGTATTTGGAAACATTCACCAGATTTATGACTGGCACAGAGAGTATGTATTAACTTGGAAACCATCTGCTGAATGATTCTACCTAAAAAGTATTAGGCTGACTGTGAAATATTATTTTATTAAATATTCAGATACAAGGTATATACAGTTGGTCTTGTGCTTTGAGTTGCAGATACTGTAAATTCAGCTTACAAATGTTGGTATGAAGATTTGCTTTAAACAAGCAAATATATACATGTACATGTACAAATATATCACAAGTGCTTCAGCTGAGATTTTATAGTATGGGTAGATAGTATTAAGCACAGAAGTTTGTACATTGTTTGAGGCTTTGTTTTCAAAAATGTTGTCCTAAGAATGCAGTTTAAAGAATTTGTTTGGGGTTAGCATGGCAATATTAGCACCTCAAGCATTCAGATTAGCAAGAGAAAGGTTTCAATCTATATATATGAAATTAAATCATATTATTAGTGAAGACCAGAGGGGTTTTTTTCTATTGGCATGGATTCAATGTGTCCTTTTGGGAATCTATATTAAAATATTACACACTTAACATTGTCATTTTGGACATACATTAATATCCAAAGCTGCTGATACAGGACAGTGTTTTGCCTTGCAGTAAGACCACTTTGTCTTGCAATTACCTGTTGCTGTAATGTGTGCTATCAATAAAAAGAAGTACTTATCCTGTTTATATTCAGCTTCTTTTTAGGAGAGTTGGAGAAGTGCCTTGAAGATCCAGAAAAGCTGGGATCCCTGTTTGTTAAGCATGTAAGTGCAAGCTTACATTTGTGCAAACTTTGCTTTATTGGCAAACACCATTGCTGCTACTGACCAACATGTTTGATTTTTAAGTTAACAGCACAATTAAGAAAGTGCTGTAAAATATTCCTCACTGTAAGAGATGGAGAGATAGCTCATGAGAGCATTTGTCCCTAATACCTTCCTGTGGGGAGGAAACATGAATGAGGGCCCCATTTCTCAATTCAGTTCGCTTCGGTGCGAAGGAATTGTCATTTCCTGACACCTTGCCTTCTGATCCCAGGTATCCATGCACTATCATGGAACATAAGAAATAAAAATAGGAAAGAGGCTTATTCTTCTTTCCAGTTTCAGTGCATTCTAGTTTTGTATCCTTTCCCCTTCTGAGAATCACAGTAGTGATTCTCTTGGGGAAGGAATTGAGTGTGAGAAATTCATGGTGTTTAATTCTAGTCCAACACAGTACCCTTTATAGCTTTATACAAGTCCCTGTTTTTAAATTTTTCATTAGTTTATTAAAAGAAGTGACAATATGATACCTGTGGATATTATAACACTTTGGAAGTAAATCAGATGAATAATCAAAATATGATGAACGATTAGATGAATATCAAAACTCAAGACACATGAGATGCCACTAATCAGTCATTTTGGTGTCTCTCTGTGTAGAAATACAATTTAATATCTGAGATGAGGTCTCAAAGTACCCCAAATCATGCAAGACCGAAGAAGGGAAACTTGCCTGCTAAATATGATTGTTTGCTCAAGTGTGCAAAGGCTGAAGACAGAGTGGATTAAAGCAGCTTTAAAGGGTTTCAGATTTTACCATGCAATCTGTTTGAAGTCAATGTGTAGGTAGCAAAAGAGCACAGAACCAAACGTTCATGGAACAGTGACACTGGAAACCAGATGTAATTCCTTGATGAGGAATGAGCTGTTTAATTTATGAGGAATTATTAACAAAAAAAAAACATTGGAAGAGGGGAGAATTCTGGCATTGGCAAAATGAGAAACCTGCAGGAAGTAACTCCCTGTTTCTGATTGCTGTTTTACTTTCTCCTGGTATTATTTGTAACTGAGTTGTCTTTGAAAAGCACCCTTACCACTCCAGATGGAAAGGCAAGCTGTGATGCTATTACAAAGCCCTGACTATCAGAACACAGTGATTCAGTTCCTGCTCTCAATCTATGTCCTGTGTCCTTTCCAACCTCCATCTTATTTCTTAATTTTTTTCTTACCATTTGTCTTCACTGGTTAGTACTATAAGTCTCTGGGCAACAAAGCCTCTAATGGCAAACCAAACCTAGCAAAGTGATAGGAAAGATTTTGAGTAGGTGATAGTCACATATGGTATGTCTGTGCTTCTTAATCAGCAAGGTTAGTAATCAAGAATTAATTTTAAAGGCTAAGGTTATTCTCTCTCCCTTCTAATTTATTGCTTTGGTGTTAAAAGCACATGCGCAAAATAAAGAATCAGAGTTACAAAATCCTAGCACTGCCATTTCTAGGCTATAACCACCCTTTCCAGACTTCATCGCATACATCGCCACTCAAACTCCAATAGGACAGCCAGTACTAAATAGAAGACTTGAGAGGTTTCTCCTAATTATTCTGTACATCTAACAAGAGGAGGTCATTATTATAATAAATCAGAATAATAATGAGATTATTAAAATTGAATAAAAAGTATTATATTTCAGAGACGACATCCATTACAGAATCACAGAATGGTTAAGGTTGAAAGGGACCTCTGCGGAGTTATTTGGTCCAACCTCCCATTGCTCTTGCTAAAAGAAAAAGATAACCATTTTCATAATTCACTTTATTGTGGGACCTGCTGAGCTGTCATTTCTGAACAACTGTTTGTTCAGGAGCATTTGTAACTGTGGGATTTTTTTTCACTTGTATTGCCTTTCTGAAATCATAATGATATTCCCAAATGTGTTCTCAGATCTGTAATTTCTGCATATGTAAAGGTTTCTTTTCCTCAAAGGGGCCTTTTTAAGTTCATACTTTTGAACAGTGTACTGCTTAAAATAATACTGCATTTCAGTCTGCCATGTGTGTTTCTTGATAATGATGTATCGTTCTGTATCTTTGTTCTTCTAGGAGAGAAGGTTGCACATGTACATAGTTTACTGCCAAAACAAACCAAAGTCTGAGCACATTGTCTCAGAATACATTGATACGTTTTTTGAGGTAAGTTCCTGAGGGAGGATACGCGTGGTGAAGGGTGTGTACAAATCATAAGGATTATCAGATCTGTTGATCAATCAAAAAAACAAACAAACAAATAAAAGGCAGCAGATACCATTGTTAATGTTTTAAATTGTAATTTCTTGCCATTTCTCATGCCTGATAAAGACTCCTAGAGATGAAAACTAAAGTTTAGGTATAAGATATTAATTAATGAGTAGAGTCTTATCCTTACTGGACCTAGCCCAGGCAGTTAACCAGTGCATATTGTATGAAATGTCAGTTTTGCATGATCAGTGTTGAAGATAGGCTATATACAACCTGTGACTGAAAAATTACATTTTGCACTGCAGTCTTTTCAAAAAAAGAGATGAAAGATGCTTGCATAAGGAAATACTTTGGAAACAAAAGTGATGTAGCTAAGGGGAAGGACCCTAGCTTTCGCTGACTGAAGTTTAGATTCTGCTCTGACTTTTGACAATTTCTGGTTTGAGAGCCATTATTACTGATATATCCTTTTATAT